TGTACCTCTGGTGCAAATTACTGACCTCTGTCATCATTTTAAGTGGGGGAACTTGCACAATCGGTGGCTGACTAAATACTTTTTTGCCCCACTGTATCTGCTATCAATACCGTATGAGATTTAATTTGGGTTGAGACTTTGTTGATATTATGATTAATATTCATGATTAATGATGATCAATATCCCTGATATTTACCAAGAGATGAATATTTGGACTCTTGTTCTATCATTTTAATAATTGGAAGGCTGGCTGTCATTCTCGAGAGGTCATCTTTCAGGGCAAGTGTCTTTGACTTCAGACTTGAGTGTTGGCCTTAAAGCCCCATAGGTTCACTCATCCCCTTGTAAGATGTCCAGAGCTGCTGTCAGGGGCTTCATCACAGTGCAGTACTCTTTCAAGAATTGGTACTCCCTTTCATTAAGGCACTTAATTCCCAGTTTTACACACAGGGGAATAAGTTCATTCAAGGGAATTGTGATGATTCTGGAAATGGCCTCATACAGGGAATTCCACCTTGTGGATGTGAGCACCCTTAGCTTCCTGCAGCTGACATCCTCCACCTGTTCAGAGGCTAATGTTGATCGACTTGCTTTAGTCCAAAGAGCAGAACATTTTGCAATGCTACTCCTACCTGTCTTGGCCTTGGTGTCGGCACAGGAATTTAGATGTTTATCAACATCAGTTGTTGGAATCAGGTTAATTGTGTACGATGCACATCTGTAGTATGGAGGGAGGCTAAACTGTGCATCACCAGATGTGGTTGAAAGAGCTTCTATTACATCAGTAAAAGTCGATTCCTCATCATCACCTTCTTCATTTTCAGATTCAGACTCCAGATCACAGGGCTGACATACTCAATGCGTTGGCAAAATTGGATGCATTATCCATTACAGTGGCAACAACTTTAGCTTTTAGTCCATATGATAAATGGATTTCTTCAATCTCTGCTCTAATTACATCATAGGTATGGCTGCCGATAATTCTCTTGCATGCTAGGGCGGCCTTGTTGCGCTGTAAAGTGGAGACCCATAAAACATTTATTATTTACTGTCCAGATGCCAGCAGTGGTGGAAACAAAGTCTACCTCTTCGAGTGTAGCCTTCAAGTTAGATTTCATTCAGTCGTATTTTCTCTCAGGGTTTCCTACCAATTACTTTCTCTGGGGCAGCTTGACACCACTTTTAGCCGGTATTTTTTCTACAATGCATCGCAATGATTCAGTCTACAGTGCACGATCGTACTCTCTCTCTGTTGAGCCAACCATCCCTTTAATGTTAACTAGTAATGACTTCATGAACTTCTTCACAAATAAAATTTTAATCATTAGAGAAAATCCCACAGATGTAATATTATCTACAGCTACTTTCAGTACCACTGATATTCATTTAGACTCTTTTTCTCCAATTGATCTTTCTGAGTTAACTTCAATAATTACTTCCTCCAAACCATCAACGTGTCTTTTAGACCCCATTCCTACAA